CCCATGGGGTCGCCCCCGGGGGCCCCCGATATCACTGAACGGGCCCTCAGCTCGTCCACGAAGGGACGCGAATAAGTGGGAGAAGGGGGGGATATCAAAAGGGCCCCCCCCTCGAGCTGGGCCCGCAGCAGCAGCTGCTTGGGCCTCGCCTGCAGGGCGGGGGGCACACAGGGGGGCCCCGGGAGGGGAATGCAGCAAAGACGTTTTCCATTAATGAAGAGCACCAGCTCCTCCAGGGGCTGCTGCACCAGCCCCATGACTCTGTCTACAACAGCGCCCCGCACGGGAGCCCCCCTGTGGGCCTCTGCTGCTGCTTCCATTTCTTCTGCTGCCTCCAGCAGCTTCGGCTGCAGGGCTCCTCTGTCTACCAGCAGCTCCAAAGTCAGTTTCCTTTCTCCTCTCAAGTCAAAGAGCGCCACCAAGGCCTTCTGGCTGTCTCCCGTCTCCACTGCCACGCCGCCGCTGAGTCTCGCGGGAGAAACGGCCTCCGCGGGGGCCCCGGGGGCCCCCGAGGGGCCCCCCTCGCGGGCCCACACCGCCAGCGCCGCCTCGGACGCCTCGATGTACAGCAAAAGGGCCTCGCCTTCGTCAGTGCTGCTGCCAGCTGCCCCCAGAGTGCCCCTGCCTCTGTCTTTGTGGAGCCTTATGAGGCGCTCGTTGCCATAGAGGAACTCCAGCAGCATGCATGCAGCCCCGTCGGGGCCCGCGGGGGCCCCCTGGCTGTCTCCAGCGGCGAAGGCGAAGCCGTCAGGGGAGCAGCAGCTGGAGGCCCCCGGCAGCAGCAGCTGCAGCTGAGTTATGGAGGCCCCCGAAGTCCCCAAAGAGTTGGAAAGCACCGGCAAAGAACCCTCGCAGGACCCAGGGGGGCCCCTCTTGCACCCCACAACATAAGTTTTGTGGCCATCCGAAGGAGCAGCAAACCAGCAGCGCGACTGCACAGCCAGCAGCTCCAGCGCGTCCAGAGAGGGGAACGCAAACCTGGGCTCCTGCGCCAGCAGCGCCTCCTCCGCGGCCCTGCTGTTGCTGCTGCTGCCGCTGCTGCTGCCTTGCGGGCAGGCCC